TATACAGGCTGGAGGAGTCGAATGCTGGATACGTAGCCAGGAAGTCAAGAGCGGCTGGAGCTCTCGGGGTGGTGGATCGGCGATGATGGCGGAGCTGGGCTCGGCGTCGGAGCGGCCCTCCCGCGAAAACATTCGACCGCCCCGATGCTCGCAGTCTATTAGTCTACTAGTCTTAAGACTACAAAGTAGCAACCATGGGGATTATAGGTCGAAATCATCAGATGGTTTATTCTTTGCTGATTCTATTCTCATTTATCAGAGTAAATCTAACTCAAGTCACAACCTAACCCCAAACACAGCCCCATCCCTCCCATGCAACAAGCCCACGCCAACTATGCAAACCCAACAATACAACATCATGTCTATCAATGCGACGGACTTCCGCCCCAACATCCAACTCAATCATGAAGTTTAAAGCTTGGCGTCAAAGTCTTCAAATTCGCTCAGATCGGTCACCGGGCTGGGTCCAGCACTGACGGCCAGACGAGCCTTGAACTCGGGAACATTGTTGATGTAGGTAGACTGCTGGAGGTCACCGTTCGTGCCATTCGGCTGGACAGCTGTTCCATCACTCTTAGGCTCGATTCCGGCTTGCTTCAATTGCAAGCCCAGGCTGCTTTCAATCTGCGCGATGACGGGCTTGGTTTGCTGCTCGGAGAGACTCATACCAGACTCGAGGAACGCGTTCAGAGTGGCCAAGATTTGAGCCTCGTCGCCGCTCGACACGTCGACGGTCGCAAAAGCAGTGCTCAGACGTTCCTGGTCAACAGCGAAGCCAGCCGCCTCCAATTGCTTGCCGAGGAACGAAACGACCTGGGCCTTCTGCTCCTCAGGCTTGGTGGCGTGCGCATGGGCACCGGCCTGGGCTTTGAGGTGAATCGCCAGCTTAGCCCGAGTCGCGGACTTGGGGTAGACGAATTGCTGGTAGAACTGGATGAGGTCGGCCTTGGTCAACGACCGGACGTTCGCAGCATCGCTTTCGTTCTGCACGAAGTCGAAGTATTCCGAGCCAATATGAGACCAGAACCGATTAGTCTCAGAGCTCAAGTTCTTGAGTTTCTCCAGTCGCTTGTTGATAACACTGCGCTTGTGGCTCTCAAACTCTTGCTCGGACATATTCGCCAGACTCTTTCCGAAACCGGTCAGGAAAGCGTCGATGCGAGACTCGAGATAAGCAGCATTGCGCTCACTCTGGATGATCACACGGTATCCCATGGTCGTCGCAGAGTAGCGGGCGCCACTCCAGACAACATAACCAAGCTGCTCCTTGCTCCGCAGTTGGTCAAAGGCAGGCTCATCCGTCATCTGAGCAAACAGCAGCAGCTTGGCCCGCAGAGCATCGTCGTCAAGCTTGCCAACGAACAAGTAGTATTCAATGCAGTGGTTGACGTTGGCGGGATCCTTCAGGGCACGCTCGTAGACATAGTTGGCGCCCGGGGGAAGGATCATGTTGCGTCTAACGTGCCACTGCGATTCGGGCAGCGCACGGCTCTGAAGAGTCGACTCCACCAAGTCGGTCATGCGCAACGCATCCTCCTTGTACAAGTTACCGTGGGCCAGGACTTCGATGTGATTCTGGCGGAGAAGTTGAGGGAAGAAGCATGAAACGTCCTCTGCCTCGATGTGTACCAACTCAGCGGCATACTGCTCGTTGAGCCACGTCCTTTCGGCAGTCAAGTAGCGCGTGTAGTCGCCAACCTGATAGAACGGTTGCTGGTACTCTGCGTTCTTGTAATTCCGAGTCATGCGCTCTTTGATGATGTTGAAACGATCCGGTTCGATCACCAGGTCCCGCATACTGGTAAGCACCTTTTCAAGGAGAACCGACATCTTATCATTGTATCCGCCAACTGAGATATCGAGGCCGAAAAGGCTGGCAGACAACGAATAGTCGAGACCCGCAAGCTCAGCGTCGTAGGAGTACTCGTTCAAAGCGTCGCGAACCAGCTCGCAGTAGAACTTGGTCTTGACCAGGTTTGCCGGGGTAGCATACGCCAAGGGATTCCTCAAAGTGACATGAACAGTCGCCTTAGGGACCCAGAAACGGTCATCCTTCTTGTACCACAATCGGACATGGTCATCATGACGGATCAGCTTGGGGGTCTTGGCCGGCTCAGACACCTCCTTCTTCTCCACTGTGAGTCTGGTAGGAACGAACTCGTTCTTGTGTGGAATGTGGAGTTCGGACAGTCTACTCTCGGGAGAGGTCTCCGCAGCCTTGCGGATGCTGTCCATGAAGTCTTCCGGAATATCTTCGACCTTGTACTCAGTTCCGTACCATTTCTCACGGCAATTCCAGTCACCGGGGTAATCCTGGGCGACAATCACCATTCTGAAGTTATCGGGTCGCAGGTACGACAGCGCCTTCTTGACCAGCTCGGGTTCGAACTTCCGCAGGAGGTTGCCGCTGAGAAGCCATTCCCTAGGGTAAGGCTTCTGCATCACGCTGCTAAGGCGACTCGTGAAGCGACTGGCGGGGGACTTTTGCTTAAAACGGAACTCGACTTCAGCCAGGTTCTTCATTTCATCGAAGATCCACTGCTGGGGCTCGCGCTCCTTGATCATGCCGATGTACTCAAATACCACCTTGGTGACCTCGCGATACTGTTTCAGACCTTCGGGAGTCAACCGAACGGAGATGGTGAAGAAGGCGGAGCCCGGGCAAACAGGCATAACACCTGCGGACAAGCCGTTTGCCCAACCCTTCGCTTTGATGTAGGCCAGGATGCTGCCTGGACCTTCATGGCCGATCAGGTGGCTAAGATAACGGCTTGGTTGGGATTCGAACAACGACTCTTCATCCATGAAGGGAAAGTACAAGTCGAGCGAGCGCATATCCATGACTGGTTTGGCGAAGATCTGTTTGCCCAGATGTTCCGGTAGGCAAGGTTGAACGTGGTCCCAGCGGTTCTGGGGAAGATCTTGGTTCTTCACATGTTTGAATAAGTCACCCACCCACTGCTCCATCTCATCCAGAGAGTCCCGTCCCAAGACCACCAATTTCATGATGTTGGACGAATAGTGCGCCTGGTAGAATTTGATAAACTCCTGTCGGACCTCCAACCCCCGCTTTTGCGGCTCCTCTTTCAGAGTCTGCAGGTTCCCGGTCGAGAAATGGTGGTACGGGTGGGCAGGGTTGGACAAACTCTTGTTCAATTGCATCAACCGCCACAGGTCGCTCTGCAGGTTCTTCTTATTTTCCGAATCTACTGCCTGCAGCTCGCGGTCCAAAGTCGACTCGAGGAACAGGGGCTCTACGAAGAACTGCGCAAAGCGATCCAGAGCACCATACAGGGGAGATGTGGGGTGGTTCGGCTTTGCGGGTGTGTCTGTGCCGTTCGATGTTCCATTGGCGCCGTTAGGTGTGTCGTCAGTGGAAGCCGTGGTGGCACCGACCTCAAAGAAATAGTTCGTCTCGGTGGCTGCGGTATAGGCGTTGGAGGAACCGGAGTTGGATGCTAGGTACTGATTGTAGGCATTCTCCTTGGGATACTGCACAGGGTTAACATGTTTCCGCATAAGCCCAAGCGGACAAGGGGTCTCGTGTTCCAAAGGGGGCCACCTACCTTCATGGTTCCCATAAAAAGCAGGTGTTCTACCGCATGCGCCATGCCCGGCATGTCGTCTGCGTCTGAAAAGTTGCCGACATTGACATTGACGGCCGCACTAGCCTTGTCTGTATCGGGATCATGTACGAGAAGAGCCTCTAGTTTGTTCGGCAGGCGAATGACACGATAGGAGCGATCATCGAGCTCGGGCTTCTCCAACTGCTCAGCGAGGCGCTCGATAGATCCCATGGTTGCGGTATGAGAGAAGAGGCGAGCACAGGAAGGGAGGGAATGCGAGACAAGGGCGTGAGACGAGCGCAGGGCAGGAGATGAGGAGTAGCGCTCGTTCGGTGTGGGGAAGCGTGGCGAGGGGTAGATAAAAGGAGGGGCAATCGCCGCAGAGGCGCCTGACTTAGAGAAGGCGCGAAAAGCTGGGGAGCGAAGATATAAAGGCACTCGAGAGTTCCACAAGCGGCGTGTTGCAGGGGACCTTGGAGGCATCCAGAGAAAGGAGGGATCGGTTGCCGGGAAGCACCGCTCGGGGCGCAGGCGGTGTTGGGAAAGTTGCCGGCGTGAAAGTGAAAGGGGTAAGGGAAGTCCCGAATTTGAAATTAGCAGTTTGAGAACTAAACAGAGCAAATGGGGTTAGCAGAACGCCACGTAGGAAGAGGTGAAGGGCAAGCGAGGCAATTACCGGGGTCAATGGTCGAAGTATATCTTGTGGCACGAAGGAGGGAGAGTGACTTGTCGGTGGCCATCGGCGGGAGGCGATGCACAATGCATGATGGCTTGGGGCTTACTAGGCGGTGAAGCCCCGCGATAAGGCGGTCAACGTGGGATACTTCATTGCATATTGTCTGTTGCCAGTGAATTGACTACTCTTTTACTTTTCTGATGTGAATTAGATCTCTAAAGATGTTCTGCTCCTTTGTCGAACTGGAGCACCAACTACTAGTAGCTGGTCTTTCACCGGGAGGCTATTAGTAGCACTACTAGTACTGCAACTATATACCTCGGCAACTCCGCAGCTGGATATCTTCAATGTCAGTGCAGATTTCAATTATCAGTCCACATTCAAATTCATGAGTCTCAGCATTCGATCGGGTCAAAGTAATAATATCTTCTCATAAACTAGTATTATTTCTTTTAGGTAGTATTCATTATAGTGATCATCTAGTATCTTCACCCAAATTGCATTGTCTCCGCTTACTGAGGTGTATATCTAGCCGACTACGGCGAGCACCCTGTTTACTATATAAATAGATGCATGCAGCAACTGCAAACACATTGACAAATACACGAGGATACATGTAATGAATAAGCCATCATGTCCTATCATATCGTCATCGGCACACTGATTGGCTCTCATAGAGGCATGCTTCACTGAGAGCTAGACCGTATATTCACTACTCCATATTTTCTTATATATATACCAAACACAGACACTATTACTTTCCAATGAAACAAACTACTATCATGTAATAAAATCTTGCCCTACTCTATACTAATCTCCGTGATCATGACATGGCATACAATCAATCAATTCAGCTAGTGACATATCTACACACACTCCTCCAGATATCCCACAATCAATTAATCAATCAATGAATTCCATCCCCAAGTCAACACAAATAACAACATCACTTTAAACCCCCAACCCAACAATACTCAGCCAACTCTAACAACTATCTGCACAAACCGTCAAGATCTCATCCGCCTCATCCTGACAACTCCTCACGACACTTCCAGCAGGGGGCACACCCCCAGCCCAACAAACACTCTGGCAGCTAGCATCACTCGAGACGAGACTAACGACACTGCCCGAGAACGGATCGCCATAGACATCCGAGATATCATAAAACACGTTGCCCGAGGAGGTATCCAAAGTGTAGGCGTAATCCGTCTGCGGAGCGCCGCTGTACAGACCGTTCTCCGTGGTGGTGATCTTCAGGGCGACGCCACCGGAGGTCGAATCGTAGTAGAAGGCCTCACTGTAGCTGGAGCCCGGGTCGATGGTTTGCATGCTGCTGACGGAGCCGCCCACGGACCAGAGGTAGATGGGGGAGGTGCAGTTGTTTTGCACGATGGCGGAGCCCGTGGCGGCGGTTAGGGGGAGGAGGGGGAGGAGGAAGGAGAGGAGGGATTTGGTGGTGAGATGCATTTCTGGTAATAGTAGTGATTTGAGTGGGTTTGATGGGAAGGTGTTGTTGTGTGTGGATTGTTGGATGATGGGATAGGATTTGGATGGAGGGAGGAAGGGTGGGTTTATATGTCTATTTATTTTTCTAGTCTGTACAAATAGAAGCTACATATATTTATGGAGTGATGAGAAATAATAGTAGCAACTACATCATCCCACCCATGTCCATAACAAAGACATAGGCATAGGTCATAATGTCTCACATCTCCTCTCCATCTCCATTGCCAAGTACATTAGCAGTCCACCAGATGCGTTAGCAGCACATAGTACCACCCCATAATAACACCCACATCTATTCCAATCGAACATCATCGAAGCGCACAATCCTCGTTGAATCAACTGACTTGGACTAAAACCCAACCAATGGATTCTATCTCACCGCTTATATTCAGGCGTCCCAAATCAAATATTGAACCTGCAATAATCTTGTCATGAATTAAATAGTGCAAGAGACTCAATTCGGTCCCGTCCGATCCGTACATATGCAAATATAGGAAGTTTTGCAGTGCGACTTACCCCGCGGGGTTCGTGCGTGAGACATTAAAGTTACATTATGTGGGAGGGAGAGAGATAGGTGCGTATGGCTACGATTACTTTCTGTATGTTATGGTCAGGTGCATAAGTAAGCACATAAGCAGCGTGATGTCGGATGTAAGTCATGATAGGTATCACGATCCAATCATGAGATTCGGCTGTGGAGGAGTCATGGATGAACTACTCATGTATGTCTCAGTTCGGTTGCGGAGATTCGGATGATCGGATGGGGTTTCCTTGGCAGGAGATTAAATAGTCAGCGGGTGTCTGCAGGTTGCTCGTATTGCAGTGGTTTCTGGTTAGTGGATGAGAGAGCATTGCTTTGTAGGCGAGATAGTCTAATATATTGATGGGAGGCCTTGCGTGGGTTTTATCTCTTGTTGTATGAGGGGTTTCTAGATAGATGTGGTTATGGTGTTATGCAGCAGCCTGGACAACAATGGATGGGATGAGAAACTGTTCTTCCTGCCCGGCACACTAACAAATTCAAATATAGGGCTACCCTATAATTAGTGTGGGATATGTCAACAACGACAGCGGAATGCCTTATCATGAAGTATGCTCAACCAGTACCCTGCATCTCTACTAGGTACAATTGCAATGATTGTCCAAGACAAAACCGAACTTCCCACCTATGCATAGATCCAACACAAACAAAATTACAACACACACTCCACTTAAGACCCCGCTCAGCCCGGCACCGAACGGGGCTCCGCCTGGTTCTCCTTCGTCGGGGACCGGCTCTTCGACTTAGGTTTCTTCTCATCTTCCGTCTCCTCGCTATCTTGTACGTCCGCACGCTCGGAGATCCATTGGTATACCTCCTCTTTGTGATGCATGAGCATCTCACTCAGACTGGCTTTAGGCGATTGGACGAGCTGGCCGTAGCGCTTGGATGGCTTGCGCCGAGTCTCCACGTTGTTCCAGACGCCGTGCGTGTGCGAGACAAAGACAAGGGAGTTCTAGTGGATGTGAGTATGGAACCACAGGAGCTGAAGGGGTCGGTCGGCTTACATCTTTGTACCACCGCGACAGCCAGACCTGGGTGTGGGAGGCTATGGCGCGAACCGGGTTCTCGGCAACGAAGGAAACAACGCTGTTCACTCGTTTATACAATGTTTCTGTTCACTCGTTAGCTGCTGCCTCCCTTTTCGAGGATAATAACTCACCTCGGTTGATCAGTAGGTTGGCTACTCCGTAGAAGGCATTGCCTACGCCTATGAAGAAAATCTCGGTGGCCTCGCTCGGTCTGCAATTGTCAGTTTCAGGCTGCCTGTTGATAATCTCGGCATCACTAACTCGATATAGTTATCCCACAGGTAGCCCGCCAATTCCTCAGTAGCCGTGGGCCGATTTTCGTCTTCTTCCTCGTATTTACCGGATGACTGTATGGATCAGGACTCATTCAACAGCTGATATAGATCACCGAGCTTACAGGATCGATTGTCACATGCTTAGGGATATTAACGTCGATGACTGCATACCCCTTGCTCACAGTCCACCCAATGTATTCCTTCATGACATCAGCCTACTACTGTCAGCACATGTACAATATTATGGCGCAGACACATACCAGCCAGCAGTTATGGGCTTCCAACTTGTTGGTGACCGGATGGGGCAAACCCATGATCTCAGGACTGCGTATGGTTAACTAAACGCTTGATTTGCCGACAATTCCTCGGCAGCGAACTCACGGATCATGAAATATCACTACAAGTGGCACGGCTTGATGATAGTTGGGGCTGCATGGTGTTAGCAGAGCCAAACTCGTTGTGGTTCTACTTACCTTGCTAGAACCTGGTTTTCGAAAGACCGGGAGATGGCAGTACGATATATGAAGAGAGATGTGAGCTTGTAGTTGTCGTAAAGTTGTTTTGACTGGTAAGCGCGTATAACATCTGCAGAAGTTAGCATTGCCGGGTAAGGGGTGCGGGATCTTACCATGAAGCCTATCGGTGAAGAGCCCATCCTGAGGAGGCCCTTTAGGGTACATGCAGTGCCAGTAATGCGACTGGATCATCATCACACGCCGTACAGTTGTGGTGGCCAGAGCTGAAGGTGAAGTGGTATGAAGTCGGTCCGGCGGGTCTCCCATCAGCGTCTTTGTGACAGCGAGTGCGGACTTGGAGATAGACCTGAAGTTATAACCACCCTATCATTTGGTTAGCCTACAATGCTCAAACAACCTCTGTGTGCGCATACCTCGAGACAAACAGCAACCTTGCCATTGGCAAGCGTCATGAGCATGTGTGTCATGTGAGCGTAGCACGAAGGGGTAACAAAACATCCACCAAGCTCGTCGCCTGCAGCCGCATCAAACCCGGAGGCAACTGATCCATGTTAGAGATACACACCCACTACTCGAGTCCTCACGTACCGATGACAAGGTCCGGGTTGAACTCATGGGCAATTGGCATGACAACTTGTTGAAAAGCATACATATAGTCACCATCGCCCATCCCTTGGCTCGGCCAGGGTATATTTACGTTTCTTAACATGTCAGAGAAGCTTCCACATAACAAAAATCTAGGAGCATACCTTCCAACGCCCGGGCCTTCACCACAGTGATCCCAGTCACCTTCTTCCCCTCCAGGATAGAATTTCCCATCCTGATACACATGGAGTGAGATGTATAGGATATTAGGGTCATCATAGAAAGCTTTTTGAATACCATTTCCTAGAAGAGTGAGTCAGATACTTTCATTCCATGCGTAATATGAGTCCCTAATTACCGTGATGCACGTCCCTAGTCGGTCAGTATCTCCGCAGATTTAAGTGAAAAGGGCTAAGCATACCAGTCGAGAATCAAAATCTTTCTGCAGCTATCACCCAGTCGATTCTGACAAACACGGGCTGCTACAGAGACATTATTGAACAGACAAAATCCCATAGTTTTGTCGTGCTCAGCATGATGCCCCGGAGGCCGGATCACTGCAATGGCGTTCTTGACCTTCCGGGTTGCAACAGCCAAGCATGTCTCAATCGCGCCTCCAACTGACAGAATCGATGATGCAAACGTCAATTTATTAAAGTATATCGAGTCACGTGTGTGTTCCAATGCAATGAGCTCATCATCAGACATGTCTGTTAACCGTTAGAGAACCAGAACCCGAAAGACATTGAACATAGGTCTACCTTTGGTGCTTTCTACGAATGCAAAATGGTCAGGCGTATGAATCAGCGAGATCTCCGCCTCAGTAGCATTGCGAGCATTGATGCGCTTCAGCGGTCGTGAGACAAGCGGACGGCACGATTCGGGATCATCGACTAGTCCCGCTCGACAAAGTTCCTTGTAAATGTAGTAGATGCGTCGCGGATCCTCTGGATGAACGTCCGCTGTTGGCCGCACTTCACAGTGATAACGCATCTGAACGTCATAACATAACCCAGAAGGCAGTGAGGCGATGGGAAGCCCAGTGCGGGCTACAGTATCCTCATCAGTCCAATCTGAGTTGTCTTCGACAAGACTATCTTGCTTGTCAAAGTCTTCAGTAGTGGCGTCGCCCGAGTCTGACTTGGGCAGGCTTTTAGGTGGCGAAACTCCCTGATCTTCTGCCGATGCTGTGTTCTCAGGCCTCTGGTCTCCCGAGTGTACAGACAACGGCAGCTTCATGGTCGGACCCAGCAATGGCGGTGCAATAGATGGATCCGAGCTACCATTGAGCTGGCCAGCACCCTGGCTGCTGGGCCCATTGCTTGGCCATTGATGTGAAGAAACAGAGGTGGGGTGGTGGGAGCCGACCTCTCCCATGACGGTGTCTTCGTCCTCATCCATTGCCATGGATATTGGATGTGTGAGAGCGCCTAGTTTCTTCCTGACTGATGATTTACCAGTGCGCAAATGTCATGGTCAAATGCGCAGATTAGGATCAGATAATGTTCACTAGACGGTGGAGTTCCCCTCAAAAGTAACACCGGGAATACGACGAATGCAGATGGCCCCAAAGCACAGGTGGCAGACAAGTGAGAGATAAGTAAGAGATTAGACTAAGTTGGTCGGGGTTGGAGCCTTGCGAACCAGCACACAAGCAGAACCGAGGTCGCTGTATGGAGAGTTGAGAGAGCACAAAACAAGGGAACTAGTAGATAGTACTAGGTCCGAAGCTCAGAGGCTCAGCCGCGACAAGACCAATGCAAGGAGGACCAGGCCGTATCAGAAGAAAGTGAAAGCGTCGCAAAATACAACTTGAGGCCAAGTCTAAAAGGCCACGGGTGGCTGTTGATACGGTAGTCACCGCAACGCGCACACCAGCATAGGAGATCTGGTCCAGGAGTCTTGGATCAATGTAGCTCTAAAATCCGTGGTCGAGCTGCCCTCCACGTGACTTGGATGGCCGCGGACACCCCTCGGTCCACCCAAAAGTACCAAGTGAACACTCAAGAAGGGGATATTGAGCTCGTTTCGTTTCTTGAAGGTGGTGACGAAAATCTGCAATGACTGGGATGTGGCATGGACCAAAAGCCCGTGGTATCATTCTTCTTGCACCGCTAGAAAACGCCGAGAAAATCCCGCGGCTCGCCGAAGTCGATCAAGCA